GTGTTTACACGCGTGGATGCCTACGTGTATGTACTCATACATACGTATATGTATATGTATATTTATTTGTATATGCATATAAATTAATGCCTTTCCCAAAAAGTGATATCCGTATTTTGAATTTTGCATCTTCGATGTATTGAAGAGAATGTAAATAGAACGATCATTTCTTTCGAAGCCTCATTGTACATCAAACGGCTGTTAACGTCCTCTTCCCATATCCTTCCTCGATTCCCCCCATAGAAAGATCAACGCGCAGCTCTCTGTCATCCAATCGTCCAATTGTTCCATCGCGAAGGAAAGAATTGCATAGGTACATACAAACATATATAATACGCGCGCGCGGCTGTGTATGGATCCCGCAAAAAGCCTCGTTCGCCGGAGAAAGATTAATTGTATCTATTTATCAAATAGGTTCTCGATTTGCCTTAAATATTGCAAAAATAGTCGCGCGTTCGTTCCTAGCCATGTCGCAACGGCCATTAATAACATCACAGCTTTATCATTTTTTTTATTTTTTGTTGCCCCCTATCGCGTCCTCTCTCTCTCTCTCTCTCTGCTCGTTGCGCGAGAGTTGTCGCGCGTTCCCCTCAACGGTCTCTCTCGCTACGCGATACGCGTGTCTCGCTCGTAACAGCAAACGAAGTGAATTGCCCGGTACGTAATTACGATTCATACTCGAGGATGAATGACTGTGTCAACAACGATCGAACATCAGCTACGAGTCGAGTCGCGATCGAAATCAACAACGCAGCGGTACTACCCAGAGAATACGGCTTGCAATAAATAAATAAACGACTCCTCGGTGAACTGTAACGGCGACTCGCGTAACGGATCAACGTTCGATCAACGATACGCGTCAACACGAAGCTGAGGGAGCTTCCCCCGTTCCCACCCCCCTTTCTCCGTCCATCTCGGAACTCCGAGGGACGATTCTCGCACAAACACGTTCCCCGTGGATCCCCCATGTCGTTCTTAACGTTAGACGCGATTAGAGACGAAGCTTCGTTCCAACCTCGTCAGAACTCTGTGCTGGTTTCTACCCGTTTACGGACACGGTGAAAAGGTACAAAAATAACCAGAATCAAACCGGAGATAGACTGGAGAATAGAATACACAGGGTGCGCCAAAGCGTACGGATTTTGGAACACTCTGTAGATACACGCGGATTCTCGTGCCTCCGTAAATGTCTCGCGCGAACGAGGAACGTCGCGTTCTCGGTGAACGAACGGCTCGCGTCGTTGTGCCGCCCGTTGCAGCTAACTTGGCACCCTCGTCTAACCGGTCAAACCCAAACACACGCCCTGATCGCTATTTCCGCTCTGTAACTCGCGATTCGACAAGCGGACCTGTCCGTCTTTGCAACAAGTGCCAAGTTCGCTGCAACGTACAGAGATAGACGAGCGTTCGCGAGCTGTCTCCACGACACTGGTCTCAAAATCATTGTCTCATAATCATCTCAAAATGATTACCAAAATGGCGTTCCATCGGTCAGCGCGAATCACTCCGAACAGATGATCGCTCGAGAAACAGCTGATCGCGAACGCTCTTCTCTCTCTCAAAAGCTTCGAGACGCGATCAGCGAATTCGCTCGAATGACTCCGAGGCGGATCGTTTTGAATGGCACATCATCGAGTCGCTTCGTCCCTTCCCTCCTCGCCCGGACGAGAAAGCGCAACCGTAAGCGTAATCAAACCCGTCGAAGCGAACGCAAAAGGTGCGGGGCGGCGGATGGATCTCGTTCCTTCTTCGAGCGGGATCGTTCTCGGTCCCGGATCGATCCACCCGCTGGTCCGGACGCTATGAAGATCCATGTAGATCCGCGAGAAACGAGAAACATCCGTTGCGGACTCGGCGGGGGATCGATGCGGGACGAAAGAAGGCGGCGAACGCTTGGGGAGGTCTCGCGCGCAGGTGCAGCTAATCGTACGACGCTAAACATTTAGGTCTTGGTCCGTGGAGTGTTAAACGTTAACAACATTAATCGATTTATCAACGCTTCCCTCCTATCACTTAAACGGCAACTTGTTCGACAACGCGACGCGTATAAAACGGCAAGTGTTCTCTCCGCGGAATGGCCGTGCGTCGCTCGGCATTCCGTTTCCTCGCGACGGTCGAGGCTACGGTTGCAGGGGATGCGACGTTCGCGTAGATCCCATTAACCCCTTCCCGTGCCATCTTGTTCGACGAAATCCGGGCGCAAACGGTGCATTCCCACTTCGTTTCCCTTTGTATTTTACGACAAACTTTGCACGCAGTTTTTTCTTTGAGGCGTCGAATCGATTTTTGGGAAATGGGCCCCATATTGTGCTTCGCGTCGAAGAGGTGTTTCACTTCGTGTAGGTTTCCCATGTATTTTGTAACTGGAAACGAGTCTGACTCGTGATGGTTACGTTTGGGCCAAAATCATCACGAGACAGGCTCGTTGAAGTACGGGAAGGGGTTAAGCTCGCGTTCGGATCGTCGACCGTCCGCAACCGGTGCGACCGTAGCCCGAACGGTTCGCTGCTCGGTTCGTCCTCGGATTCCTCGGCGATTTCTCGATCTTACATACGTGTACATACGTGTATGGTATTCGTTGTGTCGATCACGCGTTACACCGTCGGATATATATACTCGTTTCCGTCTCAACTCGGCGCCACGATACAAGAGAAGCTTATTCTTACGATGCCCGTGCGGCGTTCTATCGTCTACGGTCCTAATCGTAATCGTAGTAAATATGTAGCGAGTACGGGGTATAATAATTACGTGCTCGCCGGCGGGCCCGCGGCGGCTTTCCCTCGCGAACGTCTCGTTTCGATCTCGCGACGATCGTCGTCTCGGACGACGAAGAATTCGACGCTGGAACCACCGACGATCCCCGATCGTCGGACGTTTCCGCGAGAAGTTACCTAAGAAATTGATTTAGCGGTGTGGAAACTATCGAAAGTCGATCGAAATCTTAGACGGATCGGATCGCTCGGTGGTTGCAGCGCGAACGGGTGAAACTTGGACGTTCGCGCGAGGGGAAGCGTCGCGGCGATCGCAGGCGAGAGAAAAGTCTCGACCGATTCGCGGAATACGATCGGAAACGCGCGCCGCGTCGGCTCCCCTTTGGTCTGCTGATCGATGTATTGCTGAGAAGCGAAGTCGGCCCAGTAGAGTCCCGTGGCCATGTTTTTTCCGCCGATCTTTCCCCTCCGAAAGACCGGGAATAACGACTATGCTTATAAAGTAGCGATAACGGTTGTAGCGGTATCGAGTAAGTAATACAGTGGTAATAATAGGTACTCCCCTTCAGCGATAACGGTAGTAGAAGTAGTAATGGTAATGGTAATGATAACAGTAATAGCGGTAATAATAGTAATAATCATAATAATATTAGTAATAGTAATAGTTGTAGTAGTTTGTAGTAGTAGCAGTAGTAGTAGTAGTAATAGTTAATGGTAGTAATAGTAATAGTTGTAGTAATAGTAACAGTAGTAGTGGTAGTGGTGTCGGTGACGGTGGTAGTAGTAGTAACAATAACGACAGCGTCGATAGTATCGTAGCGATATAAGATCTCTAAAGGTACACGGATTACTTTGGAAAAACGTGGAACGTTTCGCCCGCCCGGTCACGACACCGAGTGTCTTTCATCGTTTTCGCTCTTCCCCTTCGTCTTTCGCGTATTATTCCTCTTCCCGATCGTTACCCTCCATGCTAGATAGGTTCGCAGAGCGGCACGTTCCGCGGTTACTTTCAAACGTTGCGATTGAACCGGTCGAAACGCTGGAACCGTTCTCCCTTCGGTATCCTCGATCCGCTTCCGTTTTCGCGTTCGCCTTTTCCGCGTCGACCATCGAACGCTTCGTTGGACCTAATCGCAAGCTTTTTTGTTTTGTTTGTTTGTTTTTTTTACCCGTAATACGTTTATGTCCTCCTGAAGAAGTCGCGTTCCGTTTTGTTTCCGCTTCGAAGAGAAGAGAAACGGGACCGTCTCGATCGCCTCGAACGGGATTACGACTCTTTAAGATCTAGATCAGCGCGGAAGCTACCCTGAACGATCGAGAAAAGATGAGATACATGTGTCGTGGATATATATGTATATATATGTATCTTTTATACATATATACCTTCATGTATATATGTATAAATCATAGGTATATATGCGTGTTTGTGTGTGTGTGTTTGTGTATTCATCGTATTTACGTACGAATCAACGCGATATATCTACCGAGAAAGCTTCGATGGAACGACGATTGATTAACCAAATTCATATGTATACATATATACACATATAGATCAGATATATATGTATGTATATGTAGATATATATTTAATTCTTTTTGTACAGCGGAATTGTATGCTCTTGCAGCCCTGCTCCCCTTAGTATTTAAAAAGCGAACGCCTTTTCTTTTGCTCGTTTATGTCTCTTTTTTTGTTCGTCTCGTCGTTTTTCTCTCCTTTTTCAGATCCTCCCGTCATCCGTCCTTCTTTTTTTTGTCGTTTTCTCTCGAAAAGGTCTACACGAATAGCTAATAAAATCCTGCGATCA